TCTGTGTCTGTGTTAATTGGTTTCCCTTTTCTTTGTTGAAGAGGGTCTGTGCAATCCTTCTGCCTAGTCCGCCATCTTGCCCCTCTACACTCACAAGCTTTTAAAACCCCAGTTACTACTCACCAAAGTAGGATGTAGAACATTGTATTTTTGGACTTATTTCTGCCACTTGTAGTGTCCCTCGAGACTATGGTTGTGAGCTCCTATGTCCGGCGACTTACTCCCTCAAGGTGTTTGGTTATGTATAAGAAGTTTTCATAACTTTGCCCTGTATGCTATACTTTATTCATGTATATATTTGTTGTAAATATATATATAAAATTTGTGGGTATAGTCCCATTCACCTTCCCATCCCATTCAGCTTGAGTGTCTATGTATCTTCTCGTAGATTATTGTTATTACTGTCCTTGCAGGATTGTGTATATAATAGTATTAACCTTTGTTGCCTTTAATTCTTATGCTCCTCCCTGTGTCTTCCTTTCCTTGATCATTTTGTGCTGACCTCCCCCTTATTATGTATTGCCTTTCTCTTAGCCCACGTTAATACCTGTCTACTCTAGTTAGTGATTTATCTTCCCTTCCTCTTCTTCTGCTGGTAACCTTCAAAGAATGATTTTTTCTGTATGTAAACCTTTTCTTGATGTTTTATAGTTGTCTCATACAATAATTGTCATTTTGTGATTGACTAATTTCACCCAGCACAACGTTATTTGTTTTTACATTGAGCAATTTTTGTTAACTCTGAAATGAAGTCAGGCTGAAAGAGTCAGGAAGTCTCTGACTTCTAAATGCATAATGTAAAAGTTCATTTAAAAGTTGGTTCATTTATGAATTTTGTAATATTGTTTGGGAAAAAGTGTTCTACAGCTTGTAATGGTTAATAAGTTAAGCTAACATTTATTAACATGGTACTGGGAGACTGATAAACATAATATCATTTAATCCTTGTAATATTACTGCCCAAATATTATTTGCCATCACCTTTATTGTTGTTATATGCTGTTTATGTGTGTCAAGTGAATTCTGACTGATAGTGACCCTGTAGGACAAAGTAGAACTGTCCCATAGGGTTTCCAAGGCTGTAATCTTTATGGAAGCAGGCTGCCACACCTTTCTCCTGTGGAGCAAGCTAATGAACGGGAACTGCTGCCCTTTTGGTTAGCGGCACAATGCTTAACCACTGTGAAACCAGGGCATCTCACCATTACCAGATACCTTTTGAGACAGTGATTATTATACTTTTATTTTATAGTTAAGGAAACTGAAGAGCAGAGCCTAATAATTAATGCTGCTGGTCCTCTTGTAGTAAATGGTCAACTGGGCATCTAACTCTCACACTAGTGCTCTTCATTGCCTTTGAGGAACCTCGTGGCCCAGATTTGGATGGACTAGTTCTGATGGTGTAGTGCCGAAGGTATTTGACTGCTAACCAGAAGGCTGGCTGTTCAAACCCACCAGCTACTCCTTGGAAGGAAGATTGGGCAATCTACTTCTGTAATGATACCACCCTGGAAGTCCAAGGAGGGGTCGCTATGAGTTGGATCTGACTCGATGGCAGTTAGTTTGGTTTCTTTGGTTTAGATTGTACTGGAAATACATCTTCTTCCTATCTTACACTTTCTCCAACAGCTGCAGTGGCCATTTTTCATTGAGTATGCAGCAAGAAGAGGCCTCTGTAGTATAAATCTTTAAGATGCTTTACCAAATATAAACTGTATCTTTTTTTTTTTTGTGTGTGTGTGTGTGTAGAGAAAGCAGCGATGTAGATTTGATGGCCAAGAAACAAAAGGAACTAAATACTCTAGCTCCAATGATTTCAGTGACCCGATTTACAAAGAAATTGCCATTACGAATGGTTGTATTAATAGAATGAGTAAGGAAGAACTCAGAGCTAAACTTTCAGAATTCAAGCTTGAAACCAGGTAATTAAAAATAACTTTTTTAAATTATGAAAGTAGTATAAATTCATTCTAGAACATCTCAAGAACACTGGGGAAACAAATCATCTGTAAACCTAAAATAAGAGCTAACCATTATTAACAATGAAGATAATGCTAATTTTCATCCTTGTCTTTTGTGCTACTCTGATTATTTCTCTCAGTCTCTTGAATGATAAAAAGAATTGCTGAATAAAAGTCTATGAATATTTTAAAGATCTATTAGCAATGTATAGGAGTATCTATCTCATCATACTGAGTGTGTTCTTATTTATTTTGTTGTTCATTTGGTTAATGGATAATTATATCTTATTTTTCATTTCTTTAAGGTTGAAAATTTTCTTTTCTTTTTGCCATTTATAGTATTTTTATAACGTAGCCTTGTTTGAAACCAGGTAATTTAAAAACTCACTTAATTACCAGGATTTTTTTGTTTTGTTTTGTTTTAGTTTCTAAAAGGTTATAGAATGATGGCATGCATTGTGTGTTTAACAGTATACATTGAATGAGAAAAAAGTTCAGCTTAGCCAGCTTGTCTGTGTGTATCTTTAATTGGATGTACACATAGTAAGTTTTTAATTTTTTTTGCAAAATAAAGCACTTTGCTTTAAGTTGTACTTTCAGAGATTCATTTCTTGGGGCATGGGACAGGAATGACTTTTGGACTCCAGAAAAAAAGTAGATGTTTGATAGGCAGTGGAATTGCCAGTAATCAAGAAAAAATTTTCCTGTATGCAATGGAAGAAAACTATTATTCTTTTAGGGCATGCCTAAATCCTTACTGTCTTACAAAGATTTCCTCTTCTCTGCTTCAAAATGGAGCCTCACTATTCAAAAGAGCACAGATTTTTTTCCCCTTCTAGATTATCTGCATCATAATTGGTGAAGGAAATTTTTACCTCACTTCCCCGACCCTATTATGAAGTTAAAACCTATAGCCTACAGAAGATTTTTTCTGAGAAAAATTTTTGCCCTTTCTAAGTGCAAAGATCAGTTGCTTACCTCCTGGCTTACATGGGAGCTAGAGATCTAAATGTATTTGACAAACGCATATTGAATTCTAAGCACTGTTCTAGGCATTGAAGTTATGCAGGCAAATATAGATATGTACCCTAGTTTGGACAGCTCACAGTTTTTTAGGAGAACACAAACAATCCCAGTGCTGAGTGACGAGTGCTATATTGGAGATCTGGCCAGGTACATCATGAGGATAGAGGATCTTTGGCTCAGGAAAGCAGGAAGATGACATTTTAATGGATATGTCAAAAAGAAAAGGAAGAGAGGGTATTCTAAGCTAAAAAAACTTAAAACTTTGTCTATTTCATGTTTTCTGATCCATGATCTTGGCTTTTCCTCAGCTCCTGCACAATGAAGGTTATGGAGCATAAATATGTACCACCCTATTCAGGGGATGACTTCTAGCTTACTTATTTATTTATTTTTTGGTTGATTATTCTTAAGGAATGTCCCTACCTGGAACTTGTAGTTTATTCAGTGCAGTACACAGTGAGCCATCAGAGAGGGGAGAACATTTGAAAATGATAGGTTATAGCCAAGCAGAGAAGGAACCCTATGCTAAGATCTGCTTATAAGCAGACAGGAGCCATTGAAGATACTTAAGAGTAAGATAGCTCTGATAGCATAGTGGCTAAGACACTTGCCTGCTAACCAGACGGCTGGCGGTTCAAACCCACCAGCCACTCCTCAGAAGGAAGGTTGGGCAATCCTACTTCTGTAGTGATACTGCCTCGGAAACCCAAGGAGGGGTCGCTATGAGTCGGGGCCGACTCGACGCCACATAACAACAACAACAACAACAAGAGTAAGATGGCATTCATGCTTGGTTCTGAAGTGTAGTATATAATGGGTTGTGATAGTAGTGGAGGCATTTGCCGTAGTCCAGGACGCTAATGGGAACCACAGCAGAGAAAACAGAACTGGATTCTGAATGGTTTTCTGGGTTAAAATTGGCAAAAAATGGTGATTATTTTGATTGTGGAGGAGAAGGGGAAATATTACAAGTGACAGGTTTCTGGCTTGAGCAGCTGATTGTGTGTTGGTGTTGCCATTAGCAAATATAAGAAGAGGAGCAGGTTTCCAGACAACTCTAGAAAATATAGTTTCTCAGAATAAGAAATTGACAAAAAAACAAAAGCTATCCACATGACACAGTTCACTAAGAACACCTTAATATAAAAGGGGTTCAGGGATTTACTTTGTAGATTTTGGTAATTTGGAATATCTCAAGCAGATAAACATATTAAGATATTTTACTTTAAATTAGCCAACTGTTTCATTACCACTATTTTCAAAGATAGGGTTCCTTTTCAGTGCTTTAGTGGTAGTTTAGAAAGGAATGAAAAGATTAAAAAACTTTTTTTTTTAAATAGTCACTAATTAGTGATGTGACCAAAGTGACTTACTTGGCATTATACATTAATTACAATTTAGAACCTCTTACTCTTTTTTTTTTTTTTAAGAGCCTCTTATTCTTACGCACATTTTCTATTTGCAGGTCATTATAAGATTCAGCCAAGTAACCCCAAAGAAAGTCTGAGCGCTGGTTGTGACTTTTAATTTTATGAAGAAACATACACTATTTGAAAAACTTGACTGCTATTACCAACCATTGACATCTATTTAGAAGGGCCTTTCTCTCCCTCTCCCCCCTGCCCCATTTGTGGAACAACTATTTTAGAAGATCCCCACAAAACTAAAATCTTCTAAAGGCTACCCATAGTAAATTAAGAAACCTACTTCCAATTAAGAACCTAGAGAGTATGGCAGTGTTCTTTGGACACAGGTTATTCTAGGGTACCTTCTAAATTAATTTTTCTTATAAATAATGAATATTCAGCGTTATATGCTAGGCTCATAATCCTTTTCATATGGATTTTTTTTTTTTGATTGTCTAATCTAAGAAGAGCAAGAAGAAAGATCACATAGTGTGTTCAATTTACATGAATTTTCATGCTCTGAAATTTATATTTGGCCAGTGGAATCATTTAGCATTAATTTTAGTTTTTGTGTCATGTGTGTCATCATGCAAGGTAACATGGCTGTGTAAGTGTTTATACTGACAAGGCTTATGATTTGGAATACTAGTATAGGAGAAAATGCTGTTACATAATACTAAAGTGAGAAGTTACTTGTGAAGTAAAACACTGATAGTGTTTTTCCTATATAAAAACATTCCTTAAATTTACCATTCAAGGTAATCATTCCATTAGAATTACTATATTTTATTTTAATTAGTTCTCTGCTAACTTTGCTTTGAGTCTTGCTTTCTTTACATTTATTTTACTTGACATTTGTTGGGAAATTATGCTGTGGCTGTCAGTGTTCAACCCTGGGCCAGCAGGTAAGAGTTCAAATTATTGACTGTAAAATTCCTCCAAGAGTAAATTTTATTCTTATTTTTCCTTAGAGGAGTAAAGGATGTATTAAAGAAGAGGCTAAAAAACTATTGTAAGAAACAGAAGCTGATGTTGAAAGAGGGCAATTGTGCCGACAGTTACTATGACTACATTTGTATTATTGACTTTGAAGCAACTTGTGAAGAGGGTAATCCACCTGAGTTCATACATGAAATAATTGAATTTCCTGTTGTCTTACTGAATACTCATACCTTAGAAATAGTAAGTGAATTGTTATATTTCAGTTTTATTTTTGGCAGCAACTATTCTGGTTTTTGAAGGAGCTCTGGTATAGTGATTAGCACTCAGCTGGTAACTAAAAAGTTGGCGGTTTGAACCCACCAGCTACTCTTGGGAGAAAGATGTGACACTGCTCTGTAAAGATTTCAGCCTTGGAAACTCTGTGGGGCAGTTCTGCTCTGTTCTATGGGTCACTATGAGTCTGAATCAAGTCTACGACAGTGGGTTTGGAGTTTTTATCATTTATTTTGGTGTTCGTTAGTTAGACTGAGAATCTTATTTGATGTTTAGTAAGAATTAAAATTCTGAAATGAACTTTCTGTTCTGTGAACTGTATGCCAACTTGATTAACAGAAAACTGTAGTAAAATAATTTCAGAGTCTATACTTCTCTCCTTTCTGATAGCTAAAATTACAGTATTTTTTCTGTAGGTTTGATTAGAACACGCGTCTGGCTGACATCATATTCATCTTGAGCGTTAAAAAAGTACTGACACCTAGCTCCTGTCCCAGAGATTCTGATTTTGTTTTGCAGTGGTGTCCCTGACATCAGCAATGTTTTTAAGCTTCTCGGTTTTAATATGCAGTCAGGGTTGAGAACTCCTGCTATAGAATAAAATGTACTCTGATCTATAAGAAGGATAATTTATAAAAATCACCTTTCAGCCTGAAACTGGCCTTCTTTCTAGAATTTACCCCATTAAACCATTTGGTGGAAAGTTTATGTGGAAAACAATTTATATAACCTCTGACTTCTAAGACATATAATTTGTGCATGTTAGATGCTTGTTTTCAGTGCATTATTAGTTTGGGGAGTCATAACAGCAATTCCCCAAAACAAGAGTATTGTTTGCCTTGTAAAATCTGACCAAGGGTATTATAATATCTCATCTATTCATATGTCACTTCTGTAATATTCATAGTTGCCAGCAACACACCAGGATTAAAAGGCTTCATGCATTAAAATGCATAGATTTTTTTATTAGGCCTCTTCAGAGTCTCTCTTAGTCATAAGCTTAATGAGTCTATTTATATACTTTTTTAGTCTAAAGCATATTAAAAGTAAATAAAGGGGAAAAGGACAGCTATAAAGGCAAATCTTACACAACTAAATAGATTTCACTTCCTTTCTCTTACTGAAAAACATTACTCTAGCAAATCTCTCACCAAAACCAAACTCACTGCCATCAAGTTGATTCCAGCTCATAGGGACCCTATAAGACAGGGTAGAACCGCACCTATGAGGGTTTCCAAGGCTGTAAATCTTTGCAGAAGCAGATAGCCTCATCCTTACCCCATAGAGCGGCTGATGGGTTCAAACTGCCAACCTTTGGTTAGCAGCATAATGCTTTAACCACTGTGCCATGAGAGCTTTTAATTCTGCCTTAGTTAGCTATTAATGGTTTGTTGCTCTCTACTTGATTATTCCCATCACATACAGATATGCGGTTATCTTTTACACCATAAAAAACTTTCTTTCACTTGATCCTACTTCCCTGTGAGCTTACCCCATTTCCTTGTCCCTTTTTACGGCAGAATTCTTCAGAAAGCTGTTTCCTTTTCTCCCATTCTCTCTCTTTTTTCCATGTGCTTTTGTACATTTCATTGACTTTAATTACATTTATCATGTGGAGCATCTATCACCACTATCCATTTCCAAATTTTTCCATCATTCTCCATTTTATCATAAAACCACAACATTGTGGATTTAGAGTTCAGTTGTCATTAGATGCCCTAGAGTTGATTCCAGCTCTAGGGAGAATGAAACACTGCCTGTTCCTGTGCTGTCCTCACGGTCGTTGCTATGCATTAGCCTATTGTTGCAGCCACTGTGTCAGTTCATCTCATTAAGGGTGATCTTCTTTTTTGCTGACCCTCTACTTGGCCAAGCATGATATCCTTCTTCAGGAACTGATCCCTTCTGACAACATGAATGAAGTATGGGAGATGAAGTCAAGCCATCTTGCTTCTAAGGAGCATTCAAGCTGCACTTCTTCCAGGACAGATTTATTCATTCTTCGGGCAGTCCATGGTATATTTAGTATTCTTCACCAACACCGTAATTCAAAGGCATCAATTCTTCTTCACTCTTATTCACTGTCTAGCTTTTGCATGCATATGAAAATACCATGACTTGGGTCAGGCATACCTTAGTTTCAAAATGACATCTTTGCTCTTTAACATCTTAAAGAGATCTTTTGTGGCTGATTTGCCTAATGTAATATGTCCTTTACTTTCTTGACTGCTGCTACTCTGGGTGTTGATTGTGGATCCAAGTAAAATGAAATCTTTGACAACTTCAATTTCTTCTCAGTTTACTGTGATGTTGTTTATTGGTCCAGTTGTGAGGATTTTTTTTTTCCCTTTAAGATGAATTGGAATCCGTACTGAAGGCTGTAGTCTGTGCTCTTCATCAGGAAGTGCTTCAAGTCATCTTTACTTTCAGCAAGCAAGGTGGTTTTATCTGCATAGTGCATGGTTTTGCCAGCATCATTTATTAAACAAACATTCTCTTCCCCATTGAATGGATTTCGACCCTTTGTCAAACATCAGCTGACCATAGGTTGATGGATCTATTTCTGGGTTCTCAATTCTATTCCACTGGTCTGGATTTCCCCTTCTTGCCTTATGGCCATTGTACCAATACCAGGCAGTTTTGACTACTGTGGCTGTATAGTAGGTTTTGAAATCTGGCAGTGTGAGGCCTCCTACTCTGTTATTCTTCAGTAGTACTTTGCTTATCTGAGGTCTCTTTCCTTTCCATTTAAAGTTTCTATATAAAGTGACTGGTTTTCCAATTTTTTAAAA